AGTATAAATTTTAAAACTCTCAATTAAACACAATTTTTGCTGGTTTCTTTCCAGTTTTATGATGATTAAGGGTTTCTTCTTTTTACTCAACCAAATCACATAATATATTTCTTCATTTTCTTTTTCGGTTACAGTTTGCATTAATCAACATCTTGCATTAGTTTCAGGTGTACAGGACCATGGTTACACAATCATGTACTTGACCATAAAGTGGTCCTACGGACATGACCTCACGTTGCCACCTGGCACCGCACACAGTCACTGCAGTAGTGATGACTGTTCCCTGTGCAGTTCTCTCCATCCCTGTGACTGTTCTGTCACTGCCAACTCATACGTCTTAGTTCCTTCACCTTTCACATGCAGTCCCCCAACACCCACCCGCCCTGGCAGCAGATGGTTACAGATGCAGAGAGCGGACACCGATGGCTATCCAAGGGGAGGGGCATTGGGAGGCGGGGAAAAAAAGGAGAGACTGAGTAGTACCAGTCGGCGGTTTCCGAGCAGTCATAGGAATGCGGAGACAGCACAGGGAACATGTCAATCACATGGTAATGACTGCGTACAATGCCAGGTGGGTCCTGGGAACATCGGGGTGGGGGAACACTTTGTGAAGTATGTGGTCATCTAACCACTGTGCCGTACATGCAAAACAAATGCAAAATCATATTGAATGCCAACTGTAATTAAAAATCAAAAAAGAAATGTGTTTGTGAACACTCACATGAAAAATATTTTTTGAAATATTTAAACTAATCACTTAAGCTAATTAGCAACCACATGTAGTGTCACAAAAACTGTCATTAATAACACTTGTGATTTATTACCTTTTCATGCTGTCTTTTTAGGATTCAGGCTAAAATCCCGGGCGCTAAAAGGCACACTGAGTGAGCTGATATCACACTGGGACGGGACACAGACAGGAATGTCCTGAGTGGTACCAGTCCTGTTCTTACGTGTTTGGGCACACCCATTGTTTCTCCCCCCAGTACCATAATCTTACAGACCAACGTGAAAACAGCTGTTTTCAGGCTGTTTCTGTACTCGTAGAATATTTGAGTCACTTGTGTCAAGCACTAAAGTATAGAGAAGAGTTTATTAGATGTGGTTTTTCATTTGGTGTTGCTAAACAGCAAAGTGCATGATGGTGAGAGCCCCAGGTACCTTCCCTCCTCTGTGCCCCTCTTCTCCTCTCTGCCATGCTTCTGTAGCTTCTACGTTCCCTGTGGCCAGGCCTTTCCCGCCCAGCCCACTGATGCCGATAGTGGAAATCGCTTTTATGTCCTTCAGTTGCAGGTTGGATTATCTTTAATAACAATATTTAGAATTGTAGACTGAAGTTTTAGTGTTTTTCCAACACACATAGCATAAAACTAAAAACTGTCGCCTGTACTTAGGGTAATCAGTTTTGTATAACTTAAAAGAATTGAATAAATAAATTAAAAACATTCAGTACTTTTGTTGTGTGGGACTGATGAGCTGATTTACATGTATGGTAACAAAAAAAGTGCCAGCATGTTAACTTTATTACAATTTGTATTACTTTCTCGGTAGTTCCTAATGGACTCAATTATGGACTCTGGATATTTGCACTTATGTACTTGATACTGAATGAGTAAATAAATGTTACTAAATGTCAGAACTTCTCCCTCTTTCCTTGCGGTCCTACCAGAAAATGCAAAGGTTATAAGGGATGAGCTCTCCTGAGGATGTGCTGGGAAGGCTGAGACCAAGGGCTCGCCTGACTCCTGTCTCCTGGACCACATGGTCCAACCCCAGCCTGGTACCTGGCTGCCTTGGGCTATTAATAGAAATCACCCAAGAGCACTAAAACTGGAAAGTACTCTTCATACTAGATGATGAGGTAGATGCAGATATTTTAAATAGTTTTTTTTACTTGAAAGTGATATATACCCTTCCAAAACCTCTTATAATACCATGCATGAAACTGTTGTAATTGCCATGAACTCTTTTGGTGGCTACTCACTGAGCCCCTGCTGTGTGCCAAACTCTGAGAACGGGGCTGGGAATGAGGGAGACTGCAGTTCCTGCCATCACTGAGATAAGTCTTCTAACACCTGCTCAGTTTTTGGTCAAAAGTCCAGTTGCATACTTTGTTTCATGGTCAGAGTCAAAAGTCAAGGGCAATGAGGAGGAAGTGGATGAAATTGTAGCAGTGGGAGGAATGAACATAGGAAGAGAAAAGAAGGAAAGTTACAAAGGCTGCTTTGGACCAGTTTTGTGCATAGGTTTATAAACACTTATGGAGACCACAGGGCAACTGGACACTGTACCAACAGCCAAGATGGGACAGATGGGAATTGGTGATGTGGAAATGCTAACAAAATAAAAGGCAGCATGAAGTAGCATCAGCAGAGAAGATGGATTTTGGGAATGGGTCCCGATCTGGATTTCCCAGATGGGCAAGGTTCATTCCAGTGTAAAGAACACATGAAGCAAGGCAGTAAGACATGGAAGTGCATGGCCTTAGTCTGAGTAATCAGCTGATTGGATTGTCAGGTGCTTGGGGTGGGAATGCTTGTGCCAGGTGAGGGAATGCTTGTGCCAGGCGAGGCTGAAAGGCTGAGTCCAGATCACATGGGAAAGAAATGCCAAGGTGCTTGGTCTTTCTCTCCAGGTCTCAGAAACTCCCACAAACACAACTGTACCCAAACCAACTGCAAATAGGTGTCCACTGACTAGGACTCTACCAGAGTAGCTACAGTGACACTAGAAAGGAGCTACTTCCCTGATCCTGTATGTCAGCCTCTGGTGCCAAGCACCTCCAGTGCACACAGGAATGGCTAGGAGGGTTTCCATGGAGGGAGATGGGACTAGAGCTGGTGATAGATTTAAATATGGAGTTTCAAGACCAAGGCCAACCTTGACAGTTACCGTCTCCTTGAATTTGCACCTCAGGCAGCTCATACATCTCACCTTCCCCCAGCTCTGTCTATAACTAGCTGCTCAGGAGGATGCAGTACCATTTTGAGATGAGAAAGCCCAGAAGACCTGGTTTGGGGAAGAGAATAAGGTTAGTTTGGTGCCTCTTCTTTTCTATGGTTACCTGATAGAAAGGAGGATTTTTAAAGTTTCTTTTTATTATATTTTATTGTTTCTGCTATTACAGTTGTCCCACTTCTTTCCCCATTGCCCACCACTGCCCAGCAACACCCGTTCCTCAGGCCATCCCCAAATTGCAGTCTGTGTCCATGGGTCAGGCATGTATGTTCTGTGGTTTGGTGGTAATGAAGCCCTTTAGCTGCTTTTATTTTGCATTTTACCCCTCGGAATTTTAATTCATTTCTTCAGACAAGTAGCACATGCATATACTTTCACAATTTGAGAGACAAGGATCTCAAAGAGATGTGTGCGCCCCAGATTGACAGCAGCCGTCTTCACAATGACAGTCAGCTCGAAGGGCAGGCGCCCACGGCAGGAGGAAGAATAAACGAGACGTGGCCCACAGAGCACACTATTATTTGGTGCCTCCACAAGCTGCATGATGAATGAACCTGGAGGACACTGTGCCCTGAGAAAGATGTCAAAGACAAAAAGGCACACACTGCATGATTCCACCTGTATAAGGTACCAGATGGACCAAATTCAGGACTGGGAAGTGGAGAGATGGTGGCCAGGGCCTAGGGGAGCAGTTCCATATGTGCAACATGAAACGCAGTCTGGACAGGGGTGCTGGAGTCGGTTGCACAGCAGAGTGAATGTACATAATGCCACAGAAGTATAGAACCCCAAAGACTTGCTGGGAGGGGTCAGAGACAATGATCCTGCAGAGACAGGAGGGCAAGGACATTGTAAACACCTTGAACCTGATGAGCCAGGGCCCACAGCACCAGAATAAGCTGTTATTTCACTTAAAAACCTACACCCCTTGAGGTGATGTGTTTTCCAGTTCTCAGGGACTGACTGTATCAGGGAATGAGGAGGAGGAGCCCTTCTTCATCTAAGTGGGAGACAAGCCTCCAGAGTTGGGAAGGGGTTTGAGCTGCGCCTGTGTGACTGCAGACATTCATTCCCTGCTTGCCTACTAGGGCAGCAGGAGGAGGGGCAAGTCAGACACAGGCTCTCAGGGGTTGGGAAGCTACAACTCACACAAGCTTTGGGTGTACATGGGATTCAGGGCCAGATGTTTTGAAACTGAGTGTTTGGAAGCAGAATGTGGTTGTGTCTTTCCCCTCCCCTGGTGGGGAGTGTCAAGGGTCACCAGCTAGAGTGCCAATGGTGACCTGTGCAGTCAAGTGAGCAGAGTCCTAGGGCACTGACTGCAAGACATGCCTGAGGCTGGACAGTGAGTGGAGAGTGGCTAAGTCACCTACATTTATGTGACTTCTGGGTGGGAGAAGAGGTTCCTGGTGCAACCTGAACTGAGCTGGCATAGGGTGACAGGGTGGTTTGGGGGCTGTCTTAGAGGGAAGGGGCTTTGAGGCAGAAACTTCCCATTACTAACAAAGCCCTTGGTTGTGATTATCTGCACTGGGAACAAATTTATGTTCTTGAGATGTTTTCAGCTCTTGAGCCTAGTGGCTGTATGACAAATATTTTAGTTCTTTGAGGTCACACTCTTTTTCCTTTCCCTTATAGATCACCCAGTTCTTAGGCACAAACTTGCCATTGCAGAAAAGATTCTTTGACACTTAACCCTGACTTTGGAGATCTGCCAGGTAGGCAGCAACAGTAGCACCCCTGCACCCCTTCTGGAGGGTTTGGCAACATTCACTCAATTCTGACCACACTCCCTCTGAAGAATTACTGGTACCCCAGGGTTTCCACCTTCAGCCCTGCTTTGCTTCCCCATAGCCATAGTCATTTGTATATAAATAATCATCTATTCACATTTTTAATTTTTTACCTCACAGCTAGAGTTCGTCATGAATTTAGGACACGGATTAATGGGAAGAACACAATGTATTTGATCAGCACTGCTGACACACGTTTCCAGCTACAGTGGCAGGGCCCCTGAGGATGGGGTTGCCAGGGTGGGGGTGTCAGGCATCACTTTCTTCAGCTTCCTCCTCAGCAGCTGAGTCTGATGTAGCAGCCTTGGCTGTTGACATGGAGCCTTCACCCTTCTCCATTTTCTCCAAAAGCTCACCCTGGTCAGACACATTCTGTTCCACATTTCCCTTGTGCGTGGCATTGAGAGGCCAATACATATCCCATGGCCACAGGGGCCACCTTCTCTGGAAGCCGCCCTCCTCCATCTCATGTTCTGCTGAGTGTTCTTTATGTCCAAACATGGAGAGGAAGCCCCGTCCTTCTGTGCCTTCCTCCGCTGTTCTTCTCTGACAGATGGCCATGAGACAGAAAATGACCATAAAAATTGTTGCCACTGCAATCACAGGGGCTGCCAAGATGAGTTTGTTCTTATACCTATGGCCTGGCACTTGTGCCCTGAGCTCACGTGTCTCCTGCTCTTCCTCTTCTCCTGAAGCCTCAGTCCCCTCGTTTCCCCAGTGATCCATGCCCCAGTCTGCCTTGGAAACCTTAACCTCCTCCTGTTCAGTGAGGAGCTTCATCAGGAGCTTCATGAAGGCTGTTAAGCCGCCTCCCTTTTCTTCACCTGGGGATGCCCTCTCGGGCTCAATGGTCAGCTCAGGGCTGTTGCGCTTCTCCCGGCCTTGTAAGACTTTCAGGAGAGAGCCTTCAGTGTTTCCTAAGTACAGTTCTTCGTCACACTGCGGGTGTGTTGGACAGTCACTGTCACAGTGCAGTTTGACTGTCTTGCTCACAGCCTCCATGCTACTTCTGAATTGGCAGAGGCAGCAGGCCAGATGGCTAGGTAGGATCAGTTTTCGCAGTTGAAGGGCCACCAGGAGGATGCTCTCAACTGTTGTGAGGGACACTTGCGTTCTTCCCATGTCTAAATGTCGTAGAGCTGGCAACTTAAAAAGATACGAATCCTCAACAGTGGTCAGTGGATTGTGACTGAGAATTAACTTGTGTAAAAACTGCATTCCATGCCAGGCCTGAAATGTTCCCAATCTCACCTTAGTGATTAAATTGTTGTGAAGATTTATGTGTTGCAAAAAAGGCATGGATTCAAATGTATTCCTTTCAATAAGCTGTATTTTATTGGAGGATAAGTCTAAATACTGGAGGGATAGCAGGCCTTCAAAGGAATCCTTATGCAATTCTCTCAAGTTATTTTCACTGAGGATTAGTTTCTCGACCCACTGGTATGACTCCCACACATCTCTGTCGATGTAAGAAATGGCGTTTCCTCTGAAATTTAAGATGGTGAAGGAGCCATTGTGGGTTTGGGGGTACAGCACAGGCACTCTGTGGAGCCTCTGCTTCGGGCTGAGTCCAGTACAGGACAGCGTCTCGTTCTTGCAGGTGCAGAGCTGGCAGATGTTCATGAGGATGTTCTGTCCAATCACTGGGGGGCCGGACTCAGATGTCTCTGGGTGTATAGTTCTGACAAGCTCCAGCTCTGCAGTGTGACCTGTGACTTCAGTTGAGGTGGCTTGCTGATCCTGAGTGAGGATCGTCCCCAGAAGCTGCTTTGGAGGAGCTATGGTCTGGTGCAGGGCTCTAGCGTGTTCAGCCCCCACAGTAGGTTCTGCAGTGACAGTGGGCTCCAGGCTCAAAGGTAGAACCCTGCCAGCAGCGAAGGTGGTTTGCTGAGTGTGAACAGGCTCTGGATGTGGCAATGTCACCTGTGCCTGCTTTAGAGGAGCTGTTGTCCTCTTTGGGGTTGGATGATGTTCAGCCTTCTCAGCACCTTCTTGTCTTATGGTGAGCTCCAGGACCACTGGTGGAACTCGGACATTAGAGAATAGTTGTTGCCGAGCCTGAACAGGCTCTGGTTGTGGCAATGTCACTTGAGGATGCCTTGGAGGAGCCCCAGATGGCCATCGGGGTGTAGGGTGTTCAGCCTGTACTGCAGGTTCCAGTGTTATGGTGAGTTCCAGGGCCAAAGGTGGCACTGTGATGTCAGAGAAGGTTGGTTGACGAGCCTGACCAGGCTCTGGATGTGGCAATGTCAGCCTTGGTTTCTTCGGAGGAGCTGTAGTCTTCTTCAGGATTGGATGTTGTTCAGCCTGGACAGTAGGTCCTGGTATTATGGTGAGTTCCAGGTCCAAAGGTGGAACCGTGATGTCAGTGAAGGTTGGTTGCTCATCCTGAATTGGTGATGTATGTAGGTAATTCTCCTCGGGGTGCTGTGGAGGAGCTACAGTCTGCTGCAGTTGTATAGCCTCACCCTCAGAAGCAGGCTGAGCTTGGGTCTTCTGCTGGAAGGAAGACAATTCTGTCTCCTCAGGTGCCTTTGGAGGGACACCCAGCTGGATGGGAAGTTTGACCATTTTGGTCGATCTTGCACCTGAAGCCTCCTTCTCAGTTTCAGATGGTTTGGTCTTCATAGGGTGCTTTGGTGTTATCCAAACCCCAACATCCACGTGTTTCATGTTCAGGTGAGGCAACACTGGATGCTGAGCTTCACCTGCATCTAGAGAGGAGACTGTCACCTCATGGTTAGTGGATGTCTTTGGAGGTAGAGCTGGACCCTGTGGCAGGACTGAAGGAGGGTGTGCACCTGCAATAGGCAGTTGTGGCAGAGCTGAGCTCTTCTCCTGGACTGAAAAGCCAGCATTTTCAAAGGAGGTTGGACGCTGATGGAACAGTCCATCAGAAACCTGCAGAGATTGATCCAAGTCAGGGGACAGTGCAGACTGAGCTGAGGTGTCCTCCTGGGTTGAAGAGTGTTCTCCAGCCTCAGTGTCTTCTGGTTGATGAGCTGGGGACTCCTGGGTAGTTAATAAAGCTTCTGTTTCCTCAGGGACCTCTGCAGGAAGAGCTGAGCGTTCTGAATTTAATAATAAAGACTCGAAGTCTTCAGCCAGGACTGTATTCATGGGAGGTGTTTGCTGATCCAAAGCCCGGGGCTCAGTGGGCCCTGGGGCAACAGAGGTCAGCAGGACAGGGTCCAGGGCTCCAGGCTGAGCTGGAGCTGCCTGGACCAGCAGCCACAACAGCTGCCATGTGAAAAGGAGCCGTGAGGCCCACAGGGGAAGCCCGGACATGACAGGGACAGGTCCGAGACACAGTAAGCCACAAAGGCTGGTGGGGCACAGCAAGCAACCCAGATAAGGGGGATGCCAGTGCCGGGTCACAGTTGCCAGTCATGTCATACATGTGTCCCTTAACAACAGGACACCCCTCCCCCACCTCAGTCTCTCAACTCTCTTTAGTGAATCTTTATTAGACTTGGGTTGACAGTGACTTAGTTAGCCTTTTTCTCAAAGTCACCAGGGACCAAGTGGTCATTTTCCCCTATGGAGGAGACAACTGGTTTTTGCTGAGCCCCCTTCCCCTTCTCATGAGGCAGGATTTGTGTGCACACCGGGGTGGCCCCAGACTGTAGCCACACAGAAACAATGGGAAGGGGGCGGGTGTTGAAGAAGATGGGCAGTTGGTGCTGCAGAGCTTCCCAAGGACTCCTGGGGACCTGGCAAGCTGGGAAATTCAGAAGTGCTAGTTCAGTTTTGGGAATCTGACACGTGAGAGTCATTCTTCCTTCTGTTGGTCATACGGCTTCCAAGAAAAGTAGCTGACCTTTCTTCCCATCCAAGTACTAACCATGCCCGACTCTGCTTAGCTCCCGAGATTAGATGAGATTGGGTGTGTTCAGGTGGTATGGCCGTAGACCATAGCTGACCTTTCCTAAGTCTCTTCTTCACTTTTATATAGTTCCCTTTTTGACATGCACATGAAGGTGAACTTCCCAGCAGTCACCTTGTAACAGGAATAAAACCTTTATAGTACTCTTGACATGCCATGAAAGGATGAAAATAAATTGCACTAAGAAACTCATAGAAGGTTCACGCATTAGAAGTTTCCATACTGGTATGTCATTGACATCAGCAGTTGTAGCTCCTGCTTAACCAGGTAATGACCCTGAGCACAAGAAACTGGGCAGGCATCAGTGACTCATATTGCTAGGGGGACGCCCACTCCTGGTAATGAGGGAAGGGGTGAGCTGAGGAAGCCAGGGCAACACCTGCTGGGGGAAGTCATTTAAATAGGAGTGTGTATAGATGCTGTTTCCCTTTTTCATTCCCCCATCCTTCCCAGCCATTGGGTGCTTGAGGTCCTGAGCCCAGGACATTACTGATAGTGAGAGCAGGGGAGCAGGCTGGGCCCGACAGAGGTAGCCCTGTGCCCCTGTCCCATGTGAGCCTTTCAGCAGCTGCTGCCCCCCCTTCCACCTGGACCTGTGAGATTAAGACACTAGTTTCAGTGGTTTCACTGAGGCAGAAGAAACCTAAATGGGACCAAAGTTTATGTCATCTTCAATAGTACAGATGTAGTTCTTTTGTGACTTTTACTTCATGTAACTATGGAATAGTTGTAATGACCAATATTTAAATAGGTATTTCTGCCTGTTAGGATTGTTCAATAAAAGATTCCTTTGTTTTCCACCAAACTCTGTCTGTGGAATTTTGCCTGGTATGCAGCGAGTGGTGGGACCCTCCCCCACCTGTGGTCGGGATTGGTAACAGAAAATGCTGACTCTGCTGGGACCCTAGACAGTCGTGGTAGACGTGAGCCCTATGGAGAGGAACTGGGTTTCTCTTCCCCTTCAGGGAAACTCCTCTGTACAACCACTAGAGGGTCAGACACTTAAATGCCTGGCAGGTGGCAGGAAAACAAGTCGGGATAGGGCACAGACTCTGGGAGGGTAGAAGCAGCAGCTCACCTGGGGGCTGTGAACTGGGGTGGGTGATGAGTGTGTGAGGTTTGCAGAGGCCATTGCTGGGGTAACAATGTCTATTAGGTCAGTTGGTATAATGCTTGCTTGTGAGCACTGATCAGAACCATGGAGTTCATGGGCTCAAGTTCTCCTTACATGTTCCACTTTGCTTGCATTCTTTTGGGACCTACACATCCAGGCCAGTAAGAGCTGCTCTGTGTTGTATCCTGGTGGGAGCCCACCGGGTAGGATTTTGGCCAACTGGGGCTTGTACTGCTATTACCCACTGTCCTAGGAAGTATTGGTTTATTACTGTAATACTTTGGAGCCTGTGCATGTTTTAGATTGTGGGGGAAGTGGCCTCACCCTGTGCATGGTTCCTGAAGTTGCTGTAGCACCATGCAATGGAAACAGTGTTGCCAGAGGTTAGGCACATGGGAGACATCCATTATGTCAGTGTATTTATGTCATTGCATAAGAGGGTTTTGGCAGGGACAGAGAGTTGCTGGATGGTGCAGAGAAGAAAAATGGCTTCAGAACACATCCCCGACAGGAAGACACAGGAAGAAAAGGGAAGGAAAAAATAAGTCTTGTTAATGTCCTGACTCCAGGAGACACAGGTTTAGTAGCAGGAAGACCTTCCCCATCACCACCCTCACCACTAAGTACTCCTGGAGTGAAGCTCACAGAGCCAATGACTGTACCCCTGTATGACAAGGGGCAGGTCTCCACTCAGAGACCTGACAGGGCACCCAATTTGTCCAGGGAGCCCCCTTTCTGGAGCAAGGCAGTTCCCTGTGAGGCAGTATCCTACTGGGGTTGTAACTCAAAAGGTCAGCCCAGTGGCTACTCTTGGGTCCGTCCTTTGTTCTCTGCTTCAGACTCACTGAATTGGAAGAACTCCAACCCCTCATACACCGAGGGTCCTCAGAAAAGGGCAGAGATTATCACCTCCTCCTCTGCCCTCATCATCTGATCTGGGCAGAGGTACAGGCTTTCCTTGCATCTTGTTAACCACAGATGAGAGAGGACTGGTTATAAATGAGGCTAATGAGGAGGCCCAACATCCCCACCAAGAGAAATCCAGTGGGACCCCCAACCCAGCTGGGGCAATCCGTTGACAGAGCCTGACTGGAACCCAAATGGTGGGTCCTACCTTCCTGGAACATTAGAGAAAGTGCACACTGAATGGGCTTCAGAAAGGGGTGCCTGAATGAAAGATCCTGAATGCGATACAGGCCGTTCAACAAAAAAAGAGATGAGGCCCTGCTGAATTTTTAGAAAGAATCTACAAGGCCCCTGGAGAGCACACTCTAGCTGACTCACATCCACCAGAAAATGTGTGCATGGTGAACATGACCTTTATTGGACAAAGTACCCCCGATGTTAGAAGGAAACTGCATCAGCGAGATGGAGAGTTGGGAATGAATCCCTCCTGGCTTACAAACACCTTTGAAGTCTGCAATGCCTGGGAAACAAGAAAGATGAAAGAGGCCACAGTGTTCTTAGAAAGAGGGGGCACGACTAGTAGAAGAGGCAGAACCCTTAAGGGAAAAAGATAAGCCCACTAAGCAACAATCACTGAGCCTTTACAAGGAGAGGGGCCATTGAGAAAGAGCGCCCCAAACTCATAAAGGAAAGCAAAGATGAAAAACCCTCACCAAGAAATGCTAAGAAGGGAAGGGGAGTCTGATGACTTATCAGGAGACCCAAGGGTTCCTTTGGACATGCCCCAACTTAATAGTATTTCCCAGAGGTGTCGCAGTTATAGTTGATGGTGGCAAACACGCCAATTGGTTTCCTTATAGTTGCAGAAGCTACAATGTAAGTAGTTGCTTACAGTGTAAGTAACATATTATGACAGGGATGGTTCCATGGGGAACATTAGGCCACGTTTGAAGGGTCCTCATTCATCAAGGACTGTTCAGAGTATCATACATCTCATCAGCTATGTGTCAAACACAATCCTAAGACAGAACGTGTCCCAGTAAAAAAGAGAGCACAATCTAGATGATTATGCCCATTGAGAACTGACAAGTAGATTGTACACAAATGCCTAAAACCACAGGGAATTTAAAATTTGTATTAGTTTTTGTGGACACTGGTTCTGGATGGTTACCAGACTACCCTACTAGAACTGAGAAGGCAACTAAGGTAGCAAAATGTTTATTTAATGAAATAATTCCTAAGTTTGGTCTTCCTCGCAGCATTCAGAGTGACGCTGAACCATCATTCACTTCAGAGATCGCCCAGAAGGTTGGACAGGCACTACAAATAAAATGGAAATGACACGCATTTGGAGGCCTCAATCTACACAAGAGACTGAGAAAATGGATTGCCTAATAACGACTGCCCTGGCAAAAATAGGTCAGGAAATGCACTTGACATAGGACCAGGTACACTGCGTTGCTTTGTTCTATATTAGGGTAGCACCCAGAAGTGGGCTTAAGTGAAGCCCTTTTGAAATAGGTTATGGGACACCTTTCCAAATCTTTGTTTCAAAACCACCCCCTTTAGATTTGGAGCATGAGCCAAAAATTAAATAATATATGCAACACTTATGGCAACACTAACCATTTTGCACAAGTTTATTCATTTCAGGTCTGCCTTTCCTTTATATGGGCACGTATAGCCACCCCAGCTCAGGAAGCAAGTCTTATTAAAAATCTGGAAGACTCTAGGACCTGAAGAGCAGCTAGCCAAGCAATGAACGGGTCTCTATGATCTCCTACTGACAATGCACTCTTCTCTAAGGCTCCTGAGAATTAGGCCTTGGATCTACCACACGGGGAGAAAATGGGTACCATTTGAGGAGGATTCAAACCACCCTGCTGTGGTGGATGCTAAAAAGACAGCTGGACCTGCACTCTGAAAGCAGATTTAAAATCTGTCTTCTGGAAGAAGACAACAGGCCCCCATGCAAAGTGACACTGTTCCTTTCACTTTATTTATGTGTTTGCAAATCCAGGGGCTTTTGGCTGCTTGATACTGAGTTAGGGTCCTTTCTAGAGCTAAAAAGGACAAGTATTGAAAAGAAGTTATGGTTACTTCTGAATGGGTACAGAAAGTTTGAGAGTTTTTTTTTTTTTAAAAAGATTTTATTTATTTATCTTTAGAGGGGAAGGGAAGGAGAGAGGGAGAGAAACATCAATGTATGGTTGCCTTTCACGCATCCCCTGCTGGGAAGTGGCCTGCAGGGAACTGGCCTGCAACCCTGGCATGTGCCCTGACTGGGAATCGAACCGAGATTGTCTGGTTCGCAGGCCCGTGCTCAATCCACTGAGCTACACCAGCCAGGGCAGGAAAGTTTGAGAGTTTTAACTTGAAGTG